ATTTTTATAAGATAATCGATTCTAGAACATACAAAGCTGGTATCGGAGATATCAATATTTTAATATTGATCCGCACATCACTAATAAAAGATTTGGGTGTCATATTAAACTGCAATTTAATTTTTTGAAAATCATATATCCCATGTCACAAAAACTGTCTTCTTTCATGTGAGAAATATCGCTAAATTACGAAGTATGTTATCCATCTCAGATGCAGAAAAGCTAGTCCATGCTTTTATGACTTCAAGGTTGGACTTCTGTAATGCACTGTTTGCTGGCTGCCCAGCATCCTCTATCAACAAACATCAGCTAGTACAAAATGCAGCTGCCAGAGTTCCTACCAGGTCTAGAAAATATAATCATATCACTCCAATTTTATCCTCCTCACACTGGCTGCCTGTTAAGTTTTGTATTGAATTAAAAATATTGCTTCTTACTTATAAAGCTTTAATTAATCTCCTGTTTATCTAACCAACCTTCTGTCTCGCTACAATCCAACTCGCTCTTTAAGATCTCAAAACTCAGGGCTTCTGGTAGTACCTAGGACAGCAAAGTCAAGTAAAGGAGGTCGAGCCTTCTCATTTATGGCTCCTAAACTCCGGAATAGCCTTTCTGAGAATGTCCGAGGCTCAGACACACTCTCGCAGTTCAAAATTAGATTAAAGGCCTATCTGTTTATTAAAGCATACACTCAGGGCATCACTTTGCGGTATGATAAATGAATGTGCTCTACACAGGTTTCCTTATCTAATTTATATACACTATGAACAGCAGCTACGCTAATTATTCTCTATTTCCACCTGGGGATACTCATCCCAAGGCCCTCAGACCACGCAGTTCCACTGATTCGATCCAAGACCAGCGTCGAGATGATCCCAAGGTTTCCATATCCTGGACCAGGCTGTATCCTGAGCAGCTGCTGTGGTGGTAATGGAGGAGAGGAGAGCATGAGACTGATTCCTGTGACGCTCCAGGGACAGACGAGTCTTCAGTGAAGCCCAGTTTCCAGTCCCCGGTGCTTAGACTGCAGCTCTGCACAAGATGTTAGGCCAGTGAAGAAATGGTCGTACCCGTCTGAGCCTAGTCTCAAGGTTTTTTTTCTTCATTATCGCCAATTGGTGAAGTTTTGTTTTTTTTTTTCTCGCCGCTGTTTCCACTAGCTTGCATGGTTCGGGATTTGTAGAGCTGCACACCGATGGATTTGCTCTTCATTGTTTAAACTCTTAGTAGCGTTTATTAAACTACAATGAACTGAGCTAAACTGAACTTCAATTTACTATAACCTTTACGTAAAGCTGCTTTGACACAATCTACCAGAGGTGGGACCAAGTCATTGTTTGGCAAGTCACAAGTAAGTCTCAATTCATTGCCCTCAAGTCCCGAGTCAAGTCCCGAGTCAAGACAGGCAAGTCCCGAGTCAAGTCCCAAGTCAAAGGCAACAAGTCTCAAGTCAAGTCCAAAGTCCTATAGTTTGATTTTCGAGTCTTTTCGAGTCTTTTTAACAGAAAAATGAACTGTAAACAGATTATGTATGGTTGTAAGATCTGTATTTATTAAACAAACCTTTTTTTATGAAAGAACATTGCTCAGATATATAAAAACACAAATGTAATTTTCTGAAAAAGTGCTAAACAGTGCTGCATCTTGTCTACACAGCACATTGCACAAGAACGAGTTCCACTACAATAGAGTCCATTTTGCCTCACATCACACAGAAATTGCAGGTCTACTGCTGTCTAGTTCATTAAGTTTAGTTGTGCTATGTTATGTCTTCTGTGATCAACTTGTGATTAACTAAAACTACATAAACGACTTCAATGAGGCAGCAGTAGACCAACAACTCCTGTATGCTGCAAAGTAAAATTGAGTGAACTTGGTATTTTGTCAATTGAATCTCGTGTGTGCTGAAGAGATGAAGATGCAAATCTGTCTAGCAGCAATGTAAAATTGTGGCACATATTCTCAACGAAGTAGGCTACTTTATACAAAAATTAACGTTGTTTTCTTCACATAACAATGAAGAACTTTGCTCTCTACCTTGTGTGACGCTCGTGCACCGATTTCCTCTGTGGACAAAACTGCTTGCGAGCTCTGAAATATACGCTGCTCACGCGCAAATTTTCTCGCTCTCAAATATGCACTGCTCACACAGACATTTTCCTGCGTACTCTCAGAGATTATATACAGAATTTGAGTCTTGTGTTTCCTCTTCCTTTCGTGCTTTTTGATATGATTTATATTGAGGCACTATTTATTAACAATAACCAAAATACTAAAATAGACTTACATATTAAATTTTTAATCTAATAAACCATAACATTTTGGCTGTATGTTTTATGATGAGATATTTCCAGTTACAAACACTTAAAGACACAGAGAATAGATGTTAGATGTAAAGAATGCATTTTGTTTTACAAACATTTATTAATCACCCGAAAGGTGTACCATACTAATCAAATAAAAAAACATTTAAACAAAAATATAACTAACGCAAGCAGAAATGTAACTGTGATAAAAATAAGGAAACCATTATCAACATTGATAAACCATATCAACATTCTGGAATAATCAATTTACCAGGAGGATCTCTGGAGAGCAAAAGCAGGAAAGGTTTGAGGCGCCAGTGTGGACAAAAGTCAAGCAAACGCAGTGAGACTGAATACGTGCACGAGAGACCAGCCAATCAGATTGAAGTACCTGCCCACTGGTGAAGTAATGTCAGAGCCAATCAGATTTTTCTTTCTTTTCATAAAGAACGGGGTTCAAATCCCACTTAGGCACTTGTAAACTATCATTTTAGACCATTTTGTCAAAAATCCCTACTGAAAAAAACAGCTTGAACCAGCCTAGGCTGGTTTTAGCTGGTCGACCAGGCTGGTTTTAGAGGGGTTTTGGCCATTTCCAGGCTGGTTTCCAGCCATTTTTTAGCCTAGTCTTAGCTGGTCAGGCTGGGAGATGACCAGCTAAAACCAGCTTGACTAGCCTAGCCAGGCTGGGAGCCCAGCCAAAACCAGCTATGTCCAGCTTAAACCAGGCTGGTCAAGCTGGTTTTAGCTGGATTTTGCTGGTCAGTTTCCAGCCTGATCAGCTAAGACCAGGCTGGAAATGGCTGGAAACCAGCCTAGAACTGACCAAAACCCCTCTAAAACCAGCCTGGTCGACCAGCTAAAGCCAGCTTACCAGCCTAGGCTGGTTTAAGCTGGATTTTTCTGCAGGGATTTTGTAATTTTTAACAATTTATTAGAGCCACAAATTATCTAAAACTTGTTTTCATGTTTGAATAGGCAATAAATGTGCTAAATAAATTAAAATAGAAATACCCACAGTGAAACAGTTATATAAATTTAAATATTAGTTTAAATACATTCATAGTGGTTTTAAATATCTTTTAATATGTAGAGTTCAAATTCAACAAACTGAATAAAACAAGTCTTCATTTTTAGTTTATTTAAAAACAATTACAAATGGAGTAATTCAACTCACAATTAAATGATCTCATTGAGTGATGGAATAATAAAGGTAAAACTTTAATTGAATGATCAGTCAAGTGTTTTCCAATGAAATCTGTTAAAATAAGAGTCCTACAAAACAGGAACAAAGACACTCATGAAACGAAATGTGATTGTCAATTGTATTTTTTATTAGATGGTTGGTTTTAAGTACCTTAAAAATAGTAGATAAGCCTTAAATATAGAGGAGGAAATACAGAAAAACAAACAAACAGAAATTCAACAATATAGATGCATTACATTACAATTTCACAATAAAAATTTAATTAAAAATCATATAGAGGACTAAAATATTGCTAAGAGGCATAACATCAACAATAATACAAATACTTTTAAGGTTTTAAATACTAAATAAAATTAATAGTATCAATCCAAAATATAAAAAAGGTAACACTTTACAATAAGGTTGTATTAATTAATTAAGTTTATCTATGTACTAATGTGAACAAACAATGCAGTGAAGTACAGTTACAAATCATTACAGTATTCATTAATTAATGGAAATAAAATTATTGGTTAACCTTTGTTAAATCACAGTGCATTAACATTAATGTTAACAAGCATACCTTTAAATTGTAATAATGCAATAGTTAATGTTAAACTATAATTAATAAAGGTTTAAAAGTATAGTTCATTATTAGTTCATGTTAGTACATAGATTAACTAAAAAAACCTTATTGCAAAATGTCACCAAAAATAACAAAACACTTTTTTCACAGTTTTAAGAGCTTTAAAAATAAATTATATATATCTAGTTATTATGGCATGTAATTATTATTACTACTAATTAAATAGTTAGAAAATACTGTCAGAGGATAGGCAAAACACAAAAATAAAACATAATATGCGAATTGACACAAACGACCAAGTGCAAAAACATAAATTACAGCCATGTTCATTCATAATTATGTGAAATAAATGAGGAGAGGGTAAGTTTGGTTAAAAAAACTGAAGTTCATTGACTTATGCACAACAGTAAAACAATACTTTTGCACAACAGTAACACATTGCGAGTAGTAAAGTCTCTTACCTTTGACAGATGTTGTAAATCCGCTGAATAAAACAAAAGGAGCAGATCGTGGATGTGTTTATTTCACTCTCCGAGTCAGAATGAAAATGGCATCTTCAAATTTCCCGCTGGTGCAAAAACACGGAAGTGCGCCACAAAGCGCTAGTGGTCGAAAGTATGCGCGCATGCTTTCTGTCACACACACACACACACAGAGATAGAGCGCTCCGTGTCAACATACTTTTTATCTTTGGGCTTTTTATAGAAAGTAGCAAGTCTTTACAAGTCAATAGGCGCAAGTCCAAGTGAAAGTCCGAGTCATTTATGTTCAAGTCCAAGTCGAGTTGCAAGTCTTTTCATATTTTGTCAAGTCGAGTCTGAAGTCATCAAATTCATGACTCGAGTCTGACTCGAGTCCAAGTCACATGACTCGAGTCCACACCTCTGCAATCTACATCTTAAAAGCGCTATACAAAGAAAGGTGAATTGAATTGAATTCATTTATTTATTTTCCTTAATGGTTAAAGGTTAACAGACAATACAATGATTTTTCACCGAATATTGAATATTCTGCCATCACTTACTTGCCCTTCTCTTGTTCCAAACCTGTTTGAGATTCTTCTGTTGAACACAATGAAATTTTGAAAAATGTTGGAAACTTAATACCATTGACTTTCAAAGTATTTTTTTCTTATGGTGGAAGTCAATAGTAGTGTTTAACAGAAAAGGGAAAATCATACAGGTTTGAAATCACTTGGGGGCAGTAAATGCTGAATAAAAGTCATTTTTGGGTGAACTATCCCTCTAATTACTATTTAACCATCATTTTTAGTAGGAAACGTGTCCTAAAAATGCCCTTAAATCCCTATTTCAGCACACAAAGATTATATATATATATATATATATATATATATATATATATATATATATATATGGAAAGAAAACAAACTCAATTTTAGACATTATCACTGTTGTCTATGACTTAGAGATGTACACATAACTCATTTTCATCTTTCAGTCAACATATTCATCCAAACTGGCAATAGCTTGCTCCTTTGTGTATTGACTCCAATCATATGAAATCACATTCCAATTGTCAAATTTCATTTCAAAGTAATTTTCCAGCTCTGTCTGAAATCTGCACACAAACCACTTCCAGTATGGCAGCTCAGAGAAATCAGGAGTGATGCTCCACTGGGCGTAAACATGTCCTGCTGTTCTGTAGTCTTGACATGAAAACCACTGACCTATATAAAACTGTTTACTGGTTCTTACTAATGTTGTGCAAAAATCTGCACCGAGACACTTTGATTCATCATAACAGCTACCCTTGAGTCCATCCACTCGATGGAAAGGAACACTGTGATCTCCAGCATGGTTTTCTATTGTGTTGGTGCAGGTGGCACCACAGAACGGGCACTGAACCCAACAGCACTGACAAAGATGATCAGTCAAAACCTGATCTGGTCTGTCCTCATGCTCCAGGTTTTCTGGAAATGCCTTTGTACTAAATTTACATTGTATTTCAGATGCTACTGAACCAAGTTCTGCTCTTATCACATCTTCCAGGAGGTTAAAGTCATCAACACCATCATGACTCACTCCGCTGAAGTTCTTTACAGAGAATATAAGCACATCGGAAAGCTGCTCTGTGAAGTCGTCCAGCCACTTCTGAACATCTTTGGTTGTGTTGTCTGATGTAGTCGCTCTATGAGCTGCTTTTATGATCTTCTGCTTCAGGAGTTCAATGTTCTGCTTCATCATGGGACGAACACTCACTTCAAACTTATCAGTGATGTACTGATTGACTTCATCTCTGATGAAACTCTCAAAGTGGTCTCTGGGTGAGAAAATGTATTTAATGTACTTGTCAAAATCTTCCTGTTCTGCCAGGGCTTTAAGGATGTGTTTCTCAATTTTAGATCGGTTTCCATTCAGGGATTCACAGTCTGTCTGAATTTCATTGGCCAAATCTCTGGCAGTGTCTTTGTAGACACATTTTTGAATGGGCTCTTTCAGTTTCTGACAGATGATCTCACCAAAAATAGCAGCTGATGTCGCACCTTGACAGTATTTCTGGAAAATCTTATAGTACTCCTTGCTTTTCTTTTCAAAGTAAAGAACAGGATCATTGGCTTCCCTGAACTTCCTGTGTTGGTCTTTGATTAACTTGTTTTCTCTCTCACAGATAGACATGACCAGATCCAAGTAAAATTCATTCTTAAACACACAGTTCCTGCAATCTTGCTCATAATCTACAGTTCTAGCCTTGATATAATCTGCAAGCTCTTGAATGTAGGTTTTGTTGTAGCCCATCTTTTCAATGTTATATGCCATGATTATTTTATCTGCTTGACGAGCAATGTCATTTACAAAGGCTCTAATTTTGGTTTCAGCCTCAAACTTCAGTTTAACTGATCCGAAGGCATGTCTTGTAGTGACACCAGATTTCTTTATTTGTATGTATTCTGAATACCTTGGCACAGAGAAAATATCCCTGTTTTTCCAGTCATTCACGCAAACTCTTTTATAGTTCCTAAGAAATTGTTTCATGTCATTTAATACATTAATGTTTTTGATGCGTGGAGTTTCTGCAGTAATTTGCTTAACGCACTCTTTCCAAAAAGAATCAAACTCTCTTTTGAGGATCGTTTCATCGTTTGCTTTGTCTTTGAGTTTTACTGCAAGTTCTTTGCTCTTTTCAAAGAGAGTGTTTTCATGATGTGTCCTCTGTGCATCAATCCTTCTCTTTATGTCTCGCTGCTGAAGAATCTCGTTTAATTTTCTTGTTGTTTCTCTCACAATATTTTCCTGCAGCTCTTTGATTTTGATGTCAAACGATGCTTTCCATTGTATCAGAATATCTTTATTTTTGTCTTTAGCAAAAAAATCTGACATAAACCTTTCAACTTCTTCAATTTTCACACTTAGTTCATCATGAAGATGACTTTCTGAAATCTCATGAAGTGCTTCGTTTTCTATTTTATTGTGGAGTTTGTTTTCTACATCCAGCATGGTTTTGCGAAGACTCCAGGACCATTTGCTGTATTCTGTCTCAAGTTTTCGGTATGTTGAAATTTCCAGACAATTTCTGAAGCTGAAAACAAATCGTTCATTCAGTAAGGCCTCCCACAGATTAATAATGTGTTTTTTTAGGTGCATCAGCTCTAAGCCATCTGATTTTGAAGCATGGCCAAAAAATGCTTGCTTAAGCTCCTGTATGTTTTCACAGTATGATGGGTTTGGTGGTGCCATTGGTGGACTGCCCTCCCAGAGCTGTGCAAAATATTTCACATCTTCCTGAATATCAAAATTAATGATGTCATTGAAACATGCTGCATCACAGACTTCATCTTTAGCAGCAAGTTTTGTCATTTCATCCAGAGTCTTCTGAAGTCGTCTTCTTCCCTCCATGGTTTTCTCTCCAGCTGTGACTGTAGAAACGTTCTGATGAACAAACATGCAACTGGGATTCAGTTTGACTTTCTTCATTCTCATGAAGGCTTGAACAACAATTTGAAGAATTTCCTGCAGCTCTGACGGGTTTTCTCCAAAAACGTTGATCAATGTCAGATTACCAAGACCCACAACAAATGTGGCCAATTCATTGTCCTGATGTCGTGTTGATCTTTCAGCCAATTCTAGAGCGCGAAGCCCTTCAGTATCAACAACCAGAATATAGTCAAACTTCAGCTTTTCTTTCATCTTCATTTCCTCTGAAACTCTGATCAGTTGCATGAAAGCTCCTCTGGTGCATCTGCCAGCACTAACGGCAAACTGCAGTCCAAACATGGCGTTCAGCATAGTTGATTTCCCTGAGCTCTGAATCCCTAAAACTGACAACACAAAGACTCTCTGGTCTCCCAGTTTCTGGATGAGTTCATGAAGAACAGCAGTAACCCAAACCACAGGAACATGAGCAGCATCTCCATCCATCAGCTCCAGAGGAAATCCAGAGATCATCATGTCTGCCGCAAGACCTGGGAGAGAAGTAAAACTACACGGCAGACCTTGCTTGTTTTTGTTCTCTGATATACACGATTCATAGATCTGACCAATCTCCCGCAGGATGTGCTCCAAGCCAAAGGTTGCAGCTTGAAGTTCTTCTGATATCCTATCAAGTTCTGCATGTTCATCTCTAAAATTAGTTGTAATTTGCTGCTCGGTAATGTCATTTTTTTCTTTCATTTTTAGTATTTTTGACCATTTTTCATCATACTTGCAATGTAGTGCAGAAAGGTCAGTCGAGGTATATTCATCCAGTAGAACTGTGAGCCATTTCAGAAAAAACAACTTCTCACTAAGAGGTTTTGAATCCATTTCTGTAATAAACAACTTCATGAACTCACCAGTGTCCAATGCATACTGCATTTCACGAATTTTCTTCAATTCCTGTTTCTGTTTTATATCCACATACGCCTCGTGAGATCTATGAAGTTCTTTGTTCTTCTGACACCACTGATGCCACAGTTTCCCTTGACAGGGCAAAAATGATTCTTTGATTTCTGTCAGATTGTTTCCCTTCAGTAAGTCCATCATCTGCTGGGCTGCCTTTTTTCCTCTTCTACAGTCACCATCATGTTCCTCATCTACTCTGATTCCTGAGTCTTTGGAAACATTTTCAAGCCTGAAAACTGAAGACGATTCTGAAGATGATAAAGAAAGACATTTATTTATAGTTTGTATAAGTTCTTCAGAAACATCTGACTGATTTCTGTCTTTTAAGCCAATTTTATATTTTGTTTTTCGTGTCTCAGTTACTTTATGTTTTTCCTCTGCAAAAAGACAAACTAGTGGTGTTTTGTCCTTGTAAAGGTTTTGAATCAGTGTGGCACTTCTGTCATTCTCGTCAAGTCTAGGTAGAATAACTATATTGACTGAGGACAGTTTGGTGAGGATCTGCATCTGCTTCTCATGGTCTCCTGCATCACCATGAAGGTTACAAAAGGCAACACATTGAGTAAATTTATCAGTGTCTTTTCCAGAAGGACAGTACCAGGCAATCTCCACCACTCCATCCATCAGTAATCTGGTTTCACTGCTGCCTGAGCAGTTTCTGTGGAAGAATGTGTTGTGTTTCTCATTGATCAGATTGTTCATTAGCTGAGATTTGGATGAAGACACTGGGCCAAACCTGAAGAAAAACACCATTGGTGTTTCTGCCTTCCATACTGGCTGGGTTTCACTGCTGGTTTCACCAGCTGCATGTTTTATCTTCCAGCTTTTGCTGATTTGTCTGAATGCCCAAAGTGGAAACTCAATCTCTCGTGTGAATGGATCAGGAACAAGCAGGGGCAGAGCATACTGACACTGAGACAGTTTAGTAACCATCAGCTGCTTCAAGAAACTATCAGCACAATAAAACACAGCCATCTGAACATCCATTGGATGAATAGGATCTCTCTGGCTTTTCTCTTCAGTAAACAAAGGCATTTCTGTGAAAATATCAACATTAGCCTCATCTTCAAGTAAGTCATTGTTTCTCTGAGGTCTGTCATGTTGTTCAATGGTATTTTCAGTTTTAATGTATCTTGATCTGTAGTTCATCATCAGTAGTTTTTGTAGGAAAGTCTGAATGAGGTCCTTTTCAGAACAGGACTCGTGGGATTGTAATGAATAGGTATTTTGTAAAAGAACTTTAGCAGCTTTAAGCTTAAAATTGTGTCTTATATCAAGATGGAGTCTTTGAAACAGATGCTTTTTTTCTTCAATGCTGGTGATTGCATCATCTTCTAAATGCTTGTCCACGTTTAGCTGTGAAACAATACAGTGCATTAAAAATATTTTCTGAGGATTAGTTAACAGAATTTGTAACAAATTATTAAACTCTTCAAAGTCACTGAAGGTAATATAAACTGTATCCATATGAGGCATATATCAAATTTCTTCTTCTGTTCTATTTTTGAACTTTAGTCAATAGCTTACCTCACGCTTCTCTTTAGTCCCCGGTGTTGTGTATTCCATGACTGCTTCTTTTAACAGAACAAAAAGAGTAAATATTAATATGAGTTGATATTTTAACCTAGCTAACTTGTAAATTATGCAGTCTCCAGACTCCGAACAGCAGAAATACATGCATGTACCAAACAATTTTGCCATGCAAAGTGCTTTTCCATTGCCATTTTTGCCTCATTCATAACTTGTTTGCCTGATTATTTTGACCTTATTCATAACTGATTATATTTTGCTACTCTCAAATGTCACCATGCTTTATTACACTTGCATTCACCAAATGCAACTTTTGTCATTAAGATTTGATCGATTTAACCCCTGCTATTACTTCTTGTTATTTAATTTAACAAATTTGAGGTTAAAATGGTAGGAATGTTGCATCAACTGTGAATAATCAACATACTGAAGTATTTAGAGAATAAGTTCAGGATCTTTCTAATTACTATTACCATTACTATTAATTACCTTGTCAGTCAAGGTGTAACACAGCTGGCATTATTAAATGGTAATAAATTATGTAAAAAATGTATAGCTGTATAGCTGTAATTTTCGGCAAATCTGGTTACGTGATTCCACAACACTTGTTGTTCAATTGTCTTGTGTGCTCTGTTTGTTATATCCTCATTCCTCCTTTCTGTTAGTGTACATGTTCTCATAGTTTCGTTTGGGCTTTGGGGATTTCATCTATGCAAAGTTCTTAACCAATTGTAGCCCATGAGAAAAAGAAAAATATCAGCTAAAAAGAAAAAAATATCAACTAATTAACAAAATCACATTGTTTTAAATGCAAAACTCATTTGAGTAAATCAAAGAAATATACAACTTCAACTGTAAATGATCATATTCTTTAAAGAAAAATACAATCCCATTGAAAACATATTATTGCACTTCATTAGACAATGTTTCAATTGTTTTTGTCCTGGATCATTTGTACAAACACTCATATAATTAAGTAAAGTTTATTTATAAACTAATTTCGAGAGAATTGCGTGCTCATGATTGACCACGGCTGTTCCTGCATTAGCCATCACATGATTTACATATCAGACAATCCTAACTTACTATACATAACCAGAGTTGTTTACCCCAGTGTCTTCATCTTAAAGAACCCCCCTCCCACCTCTACTCCCCCCTTCTTTTCTATTGGGCGACATGATAGTTGAGTGGTTAGCATTGCTGCTTTACAGCAAGAATGTCACTGGTTAAAGTGCCTACTGAGCCAGTCGACATTTTTGTGCAGAGTTTGCTTGTTCTCCCAGTGCTAGCATGGGTTTCCCCGTTTCCTCCCACAGTTCAAAAACACACGAATTAGGTAAATTGAGCATGCTAAATTGGCACCGTGGTCAAGTTCTTAGTAAGTTGTACATCTCTCTAAAGCCATCCCTACATCTGTCATTAGCCAGAAATAAGACAGTGGAGTTCTCGAGATCTACTTGAGCTAATGCGAGGGAGCCCTTGACTCAAAGATCTTATAAGCTCAGGGCTCTCTCCCAGGACAGCATGCCAAACAAGCATTATAATCAATCATCAGCTAAGGGTAAACTCTTGAATTAATATGGTACAACTGAAAATTAATTAGTGTTACAAAAACAAATCAGTGCTCTTACTTTGACATATCCTGTTTTGCACATCTTCATTGGTGTAAAACTGCTGGTCATTATCAATAAACAGTTGCTCTATCTTCTTCATCAGGTCTCCTATGTCTGACTTCTTGTTCATGATCTTGCTGCAGGTGTGATATCTTCCTCCACATTTCTCAATTAGCTGCTCCAGAGCCAAGTTTTTCTTCAGGTCATCAATTATAGAGTCGGACTCTTCCTCACTCTCGTAGGTAAAGAGAATCATCACAAAACGAAGAACTCCGTCACCAAATACTCTCTGAAGCCACTCAATACCCATTTTATCAGCATCTGTTAACTGTCCCAGTCGCACAACAAAGACGAAGGCCACTATTTTATTTTCATTCATGAGTTGACCAGCAATGTGATCCAGATCAAACACAGTTTCATGAAAACCAATCAGATTAATCACAGACACAGGATGTCCTAATTTTTTCATCTGCAAAGAAGCACTTCTAGATCTTGCTACATTTCCAACAGTTGGTTGTGTTTCTCCAAGTAGAATATTGTCATCTTGAAACTGGACTGCCGCAGGGCTTCCAAATAACACAATGTTCAGATTGTTATCTAAATTAAACACATAAGAATTATTTTCAGATTCATCAATAAATGGAATGTAAAAGTGTTTTAAAAAAATTAGATATTTTTATAGTCTTACCCATTCCGCCGACTGATGGATCAACAGCCAGTTCTGGTAATCCATCCATTAGATTTAAACCTGCCTTGTTCTGCTACAAGTCTTTAGGCATGCAAAACAAAATTTTAAGAAAGATTTTAGAAGAGTCTACCTTTCTTGGCTGTTCATTTTATAACAGGCATCGTTCACCATCCGAGTGTGAGGAATAATTATGTTTGAAGTATCAAGTCTCTTCCTGTTTATGTACACTAGTTGTAGATCCAGTCTAACAGGATTTGCAGTTAGTAGAAGCAGTCTGATTTCTCATAAATGGCGTGGTGTCCTTTTGTGGACCAACCACATACATTACCATTTTAGCCCAACATATTTGGTTGTGTAAAATAGTTGCTATTTTCCTTATCCATGCTATCCATGTGTTATTTCTACATTACACATAAACCAAACAACCAAATAAAAGAATTTTTTAAAATGGAATTGAATTACCTCCTGTCACATGAAGCTTAAATTTCTTACTCTCACAGCAATTCAAAGTTGCATAACGATGGCAAACCCTCCCAAAGACAAGCAATTTCTGTTCCCCTTCGGATGGGGAACTTCAATGCTATAAGTGGATTTTAATCCACGAATTGGGGATTTTGTTTCAGAAAGCCAATTGTCTGAAAGAGTATATAACGGGCCAATGAAATGCCAAATGAGTTGGCAGCGTAAACTTGCACACCTGAAACTTATTGCCAATTATCTCCGCATATAAGCACTGGGGAAGCAAGGAAACACCATCCTTTTTGCTTCAGAGACTATTACAGCCTTCTGAGAGAGTTGATGAGGGTTCCCCCTGCTGTGAGCCAGCGATTTTGAGCAAACGAGAGCATTCTCCCGGTCCAGAGTGTGTACACGCAGCGGCAGACGGTTGAGCTGGGTTTCTCCCTTGCCTGGCGTTCTTTGGGTCCGGTCCTCCAGAGCGGTGCGTATAAATTGCAACTTCACAAAAAGAGCAACACAGTCATGCAGCATGTCCTTTTCAGGATGGCGCTGACCGTGCGTTTCTGGATGCTGTGGTTTCCTGTCCCCGGATGATGGGCACGAGCACTGCGTTGCATGTCTGGGGGTCCACCATGTTAATGCGGTGCTCGCGGGCAGTTCATGTCGTCATTGCGATGCCATGACTGTTGTGCAGTTAAGATCGCGGCTAGCCTTTGCAAAAGGGCGAACCACCCCAGCTGTCCCCTGCACTGCAGGGGGCACTCGGGCAGATCTGAGGGTTCCAGTGGAAGATAATCCGTCACCTCCGGGCCCGCGTACCTCCCGCTCCTGCAAGCGCTCCATCAAAGCTTCGAGCGGAGAAAGCGATCCGTCTAACCAGATGGTAGCCCTTACGTTCGATGACACCGGGGACCAGACGTCCACTGCTGCATCGGAGGGTGGGCTTTCATTGTCCTACGAGAATCCAGGCCCGCTCGCCCCCCTCGGGCAGGTGAGCACTGTCAAAACGGATCCTGGAACAGACATGTCAGCCGTGCCGACTAGATGGGTGCTACATAGAGGACCAGAGGGCTAAGCCTTTGAAGCCTCTCGTCCCCTTCTTCCCAGAGGTGCACAGTAGGCTCACACAGTCTTGGAGGGCACCTTTCTCTGCTCGTGCTGCGTGTTCCTCTGCCCTCACCACTCTTGATGGTGGAGCGGCCAGGGGGTATGCGGTGATTCCTCTGGTCGAGCGCGCGATCGCGGTCAATCTTTGTCCACGTGGAGCCTCTTCCTCGCGGGATCCGCCTCGTCTCCTGTCCAAAGCCTGTAGGTTATCTGCCTCCCTTGGAGCTAGAGCTTACACGGCTGCGGGCCAGGCTGCTTCCGCCTTGCAAGCGATGGCCACCTACCAGCACCACTAAGCTAATATACTTGGTCTGTGTAGTCATGCAAACATTTGTTTGTAGAGCAAGTAGTTTGACCATTTTCTGCCGTTTATTATTCCTAGTCATTTCTCCCATAGGCGACTGAATCGGAAGTTCTAAGACAATCGCGAAAACAGGCGCACTTCCGCATTTTAGAATAAGGTCAATAAAATTCCATTGAAAATACCTAAATAACAGACGAATCCAAATGCCCAACACAAAAAAAGCTGCGCTCCAGACGCGTTCAGCTCGATGATATATAATGTATCCGACACCGCCTGTAGTCCTATTTAGCAACTTGATAGCAACCGTATTATTAAAGAAGCATAATCGATTTAAAAATTCAAGAGTGTGCTGTATTTGATGTCTTTTATGTCGTAGAACAAAACGTAAAAGTATCTTGAGTTTGTGTTAGCCACGATCCTTATTTAAGCCATTTTCCTGAAACCCCATTAAAAAAACCCATTGACTTTAGGACGAGGAAACCGGAACTGCTAAAATGCTAACTCGCTTCCGGGTTTTTGCATACAAATTGACGTCATAGTTCGTCCACTCTATTGGATTGTTCTTGTGGTGAATTTCACTGGTACACACGCATATATCCCAGTCATTTTTTAACTATCAGTTAGTTTTCATTATTCATTCATTCTTTTCTTTTTCAGCTTAGTCTCTTTATTAATTAGCGGTCGCCACGGGAAACGAACTGCCAACTTAACCAGCACATGATTTACGCAGCGAATGCCCTTCCAGCCAAACACTTTGAAACACCAATACACTCTTGAATTTACACACATACACTACAGACAATTTAGTTTATTCAATTCACTTATAGTGCATGTCTTTGGCCTGTGGGGGAAACTGGAGCACCTGGAGGAAACCAACATGACCACAGCGAGAGCATGCAAACTCCACACAGAAACGCCAACTGACCCAGCCTGGGCACAAACCAGCGACCTTCTTTCTGTGAGGTGATCCTGCTATCCACTGCACTACCGTGAAGCATTTATCAGTTCGTTTTATTGAAAATAAATAAATCAATCAAAAAAATACAAACAATTTTATTATTAAGACAAACATTTTATAATTTAAAAATATATATTTTTTACTTGTTCAAACTACTTAATTAAAATGCGCTGAAACAACACAATTCTTGAGATTTCATTTGGACAACTTACTTTTTTATGTTCAATCCACATGAATTTGTTAAAAGTGTTAAGCTAACTTAATCGGGACAACATAAAAGAATTGTGTGGAACCCGGCATTTTTTACAGTTAAGTCCTGAAGGGGGGGAAGAGTTAATATATCACACAGGTTTAGTGTAAGCAGTCAATTTAGGTTCATCATCAGCAACATTAAAAATGGTTGGTTTTTTAAAATTTGTTTTTTTTTTATTTAAACTTGAATAAATAGATACAAAATGCAATATGCATAATATTATGAAAATGTCTATGAAATATGAAGCATAAACTCATAGAAGATTTACTTTGGTTAAAAAAAATCAACAATTATTTTTGACCTTTGAGGATGATGGCATCTATTATCTTATATACGTGTGCAATGAGGGTAAACATCTCTAGATGGGATTTATTGCATTTTACATAAATTATTCATGCATTTAAAAGTACTGTCAGATTTGAAAGTGACAGATGTATCTTGCTTGTGTTCAATTTATTTTATTATTACTATTAATGTGAATGAATTCATTATCCAAAATATTTCTAGTGTTTTCTCTTATTATATTACAGACACGTTGTTTTGATGTTTACATTAAGGAAAAACCTATTTTATTTTAATTTTTTTCAAACTCAAAACAATTTACTCTATGTACCACAGCTTTACTGCCTGCCTATTACTCACCTAATCAGCTAAATAGTTAAGCTAATATTCTTAGTTAATGATTTTTTATTATTCTAAGTTGTACACTAAAATAAAGTGGGACCAAATGTAATATAAACATAAGAAGAAAATTGTTAAATAAAAGGGGAAAAGACTTGTAATACAACATTATACAACATTAAAATATTTAGGCAAATGAAGCCACACATAGCCATAGCAATATGCTAATATACTTATATATACAAAATGAAAGGCAAATTTATGTTTGAGTTTAGCATTTTTGCTTTCTCTCTTTGATTCTCTGCTAAATGAGGATGTACTGAAAGATTCAAGGTGTTTTTTTTTTCATGTTTATACACCGTCTGATCAAGAATCTTCAAGACCTAACCCCCTTCTCTTAGTTCACAAGCAGGCAAAGTGATATGCATTTATTTATTAAGAATTTACACATTTATATATGTGTATGTGTGTGTTCTCTGTTACGTTAATTTGTGTCTGATGTTATTATTTATCCATTATGTTTATTTGGACTGTGTCAAAGTGCATTAAACGCCTGTAAAAAGGAACTAAAGCCATTGTGAGTGGTCAACATTAGCTGACTCTTCTTCCTATTTCCATCTATCTGACAGTTTCCAAAGCACTTGAAAACAGGAGAGCAACTATGAAATGTAATTTTTGATTTGCATTTGAAAAAACACCATGGCCAAGTTTCACAGACAGGGCTTAATATAAGCCAGGAGTAGGCCTTAATCAGTACTAGTTAATCTGGGGCATTTAAGTACCTTTTATGAACATAGCTTAAAATAGGCTTAGTAAGTCAGAGACTACAGAGTCCTGGAGTAACTTAAGTAAGCCTAAATGAGAACACCTGAGATGGGCCTGATTAGGTTGAGTATAAGCACATGCTGTTGGTCTGATGGTGTTCATTAAAACCTGAAATGGACTACAAAACAATATTGTTGGTTGAAAAATTGACACAAAGCAATGGCAGAGGCAAAGAGAATCTGTTCAAAAAACTTTAGTGAGTATGAAAAAACACTACTAAAACAAATTTTGACAAACTATCCAGTTATTGAAAGTAAAACCCACACTACTGCTAGTGAACAAAAGAAAAGAAGTGCTTGGAATGCAATTTGCAATGAATTCAATGCAAATGAAAATGCAACCACAAGAACAATACAACAACGTCAGGTGAGATTTCTTTGTTATTATCATTGCACATTTCTCATATTTATATTTGTGTCACAAGTTATAATAAATGAAATTTGCCTGTATAGACTCCTATATAGAACCTAAAACTGACTTTAAAAAGACAGAATGCAGAGATCAGAAGACAGCGATTTATTATTGGTGGTGGACCACCAAATCAAGATAAAACTGATGAAGTGGATGACTTGTTGTCTGGAATAATACAGAACCAGCAACCTCTGAAAGGTATATGTAGTATTCTGCAGTAGCCACAAGGGGTCTTTATTGGATTACAAGTGTTGTGTTATTGCCTGTAACCCAGTTGAGGATGAGATACGATGCAGGAAGGCATGCGGTGGAAATGTCTGTTGTAATTGAAGTAAACAGAAAGTA